TAGGAGTGAGTCATGGACTATATATAACATCTGAAGCAGTAAACTCACACGAGTGTCTGAGCTGTGATTGCGGATCATTATTTCTGTCACCATTGACCATCATGTTACAAGATAATGTGAAATCATTCCTGCTTCCCCCTGTAGCAGCAAAACCGCACAAAGTGGTGCAGATAAGTCACAGTAATTGGCTGTTTGTGTATTAGTGCTGATTGTTGCATGATGAGTATTCTGGGAATTGGGCCTCCACCGATTTCTCTTTATGGGCGTCCATGTAGCCACTTAATATAAAAGTGATCGTTATTTGTTAGAGGGCAGCTCAGATTAAATGACATCCACCAACTGCAGCAAGTTCCTTACACCATTGGAATTTTATTATCCAGAAAAATAAGTATGTTTGAAGTCATGTTTTCCAGTGGGGTTTGCTCTTAGGGTAAATAATTAGGATTCTTCTCAAATGATACAAATCAATGTAGCTGTGTATCAGAGAGAAAGTTTAGAAAACATGCTTGTTAGAGCCATGTTATACTATCAATTATATCACTGGAGACAACTTGCCTGTGTGAGTATCGCAAAGTCAGCACACTCTATGCTAATGTGTTGCTACCTCATTCAGCCATTGGGATGTCCCTCCATCAGTGCTTCCTTGCTAACTTTCGATTTGTTTCAGCTAGTAGGGGAACACCATCAGAAAAGGATTGTATTTAAACTCAAAAACAAAAATGTAATATATACAGTATAGCAGCTTATCAGTCCTTGCATGTGGTGGCTGCATTCGTTTTCCTTTTTCAGGCTTTTTTCCTTTTATTTTCACGTGGTGATCTTGTCAGTAAAACACTATCTGTCCAAGGGTGACAATTCTTACTGACTGTACTGTATTTATGAAGGAGCTGTGTTGTCACCAGAGACTGCTCGCACCTGATTTAGACTACAAACATCTCACCCTCTTCTCATCTTCTTTGCATAAGGAGGATGGGTTGTGTAGTTCACAGAAAATAGTTCAGAAAGCTAATAACATTGTTTGAGATTTCAGTTCAGTGCACAGGAAGTTACTGAGGTTTTATAAGGGCCAAGAGAATTTTTGTTGTGTGTGCAAAATATATTCCTAGGCCGAAAGAGGCCAAATGAAGCCCTAGGCAAGGTAGCAGTTTTTATTAACTATTTGCCTACAAGTACATCCTTCCTTCTAGGTTGGGCCCCTGGAGAACCAGCGAGCCCTGGGCTCCCACCTAGGTTGCTTTGTGAAACAATCTGGCTCTCTGAGCAATGTCCATTGGGAAAAGTGGAGTTGTATTTCAGAGTTCCTGCTGCTGGCTATGATTTCTTCCGCTTGTTAGAAGTAATATATGGTTCATCCCTCCACCAGGACTTTGAAGCTAGGAATCTAGTAGGAAGATCTCCTCTACCCCCTTTGGCAGTGAGCTTGGCATTACCTCCGATTTATTTTTTATAAGGTCGGGTTCACACCTAGGCGGCATCGGTTTTCTGCATCTGTACATGTGTGTGTGTTTAGCATGCGGTAATTTGCACATTTATGCATGTTTTGCACATTTGACACACGTTAATGAAGATGAGCATTTTGACTGGCAGCTTAGGAAACACTGCGGGCAATGGACGAACACGCGTACAAACACTCAAAAAATGTGCACGTACATGCAACATGCTTCTGTTGCATGTTTTCAGGGTGTTTCCATTGAAGCCCATAGGGCAAAAAGTACTGTTAGCCGCCCAAAGAAGCTCATGTACCTTTTCAGGCGTTTGGCTTTTCCTGTGAACAGGTGCCCATGAAAATCATGGGATTTCTTGGGTTGGGCATTTAAAAACGCTTTTCGAACTGCTCAAAAACACCTAGGTATGAACCAGGCCTCAGGCCCTGTTCACACCAGGGCGGTTTGATCGCAAGGATTTGTCCGACCTGAACCTCTGCATACATTCCTATGGGGACCGTTCCGTGCGATCCGAAATGCTCCCTGAGCCTTTTTTTCTGCGCTGATCAGAGCGGATTCCATACAGATTTTTATTTGCCCTGAAACGCAAATAAAGATGGCCAAAACCGCCCTTTTAAAATTCGCTCAGAAACCGCACTGAAACGCATCCACCCTGGTGTGAATGGGACCTCAGAGTATATGGAAAATAATCTGGTTGATAATACCAAACACCTTGGCTGTTTAGGCAATTTCGTATTTTAGCAGGGCCCAGAAATCTACTCAACATCAAGGGATTGAGCTCCCCTCTATTCTTCCCAAAGTGGAAAAAGTCTGTTTTTGGTTTTAACTGACCGATTTCTGGTAGCTCTGCTGGTTTAAAACCTTTTTAATGTTCAGACACCGCTGCCATATAAAAGCTGGCATTTGGCATGTTTTAATAAATACATTAACAGGGTTACTTTAACCTATTGAGGATGCTGCTTGATCCCTCACCAATCATGGTGATTGTGCTTCTTTTAGAGAACATAAGGCCCATGGCAGAGGAAAGGATCAAAGTATAGCATATGTACCCTAGTGTCACTGACACAAGAGGGTCACATTGGTTCCCAGTGCAATGCAGGAGCTGATATGTGGGGGTTGACCCTCCCATGCTTCCTCACAGAGTATCAAATGAAGGGGTGTAACATGTTATTAGCAAAAACGAGAAGTCATTTAAACGTGTTGCAGATAAAATTCTGTCAACATATTCTTCACAGTCTGTAATTACATGTTCATCTGTCATTCTCAATTGAATGTAAAATAACTTAAAGTCCCTGACCTACTGTATGAGTCACAGCTGACATTTGGACCAAATTGGCATATACTCCCCACTGAGCTGCAAAGTACCCTAATATGTGGTAACTTGTAACCTAATCAAGTATGATCTTTCATCAGTGTGAGACCGATCAAATCTAAATTTAGGTTTTTCTTTTACCTCTTATAATTGAAAGGAAATTTCACTAGATCTATCTAACTTTATTTAATTTATCCAGAAGTCTGATTCAGGACGTGCCTGGTCATAGTTGCCAGTGTGCTTATGTCAGCCATTAACTGAACTTTTATCTCTCAAATGGCTGGTGTCATAGCTGGTCACCATGGCAACTGCTGATCTAAATAAAAAAAGCTAAGATGGCCCCGTCGTCAGCTGTAAAGGATAGGAGGGTTTAGTTCTGCATTAATATCTGAGACCAGGAAGAAACGTTCTAGTGCCCAGAAACTAGATTTCCAAATAGCAGCTTGGTTGAAGGTCCAGTGCTTGCTTCAATAACATTTCTTTTATGTTTCTTTCTAAAGTATCTGTAGCCCAATGCAACGAGTCAGATACCTGACTTCATTGCAGCTAAAGCATGAATATGATTGGTTTCTACAGGCATTCCCATTTTCTGGTAGTTTTTATACATATCATATACCTGTCATTTCCAGTTTATATATAAAAAGGGGGGGGGCTTGAGAAACTTTTCAAGTGGGTTTTACAGGTACAGAGTATAACGGAACATCGCCATTTCAGTAATGTTTTTTTCTTCTTGACATAGTGCCCTGGGTTTCTCCGATGGCAATCAAGGAAAATACTGTCGACAAAGTTTTTGTTCTTGCAGGTGTTTTAAAGTTGATGTTTATATTTTAGCCTGTGAACCATATTTTATCATAATAAGCTCTTATTGTAGGTTACCATTATTTAACACATCATTAATCATAACCCATGCAAGCATAATTCATATTTAATGTGTCAGTAATTCTAAACACCGAAAAATTAACATCATCTAAAAGCTGTAATTATGCTAAACTTTCTTTGAACAGTTTGTTTTTATATCTGTCGGTTACAGTTACTATGATTAGGTGATGTTTGTCTTAAAGTGACATTAAACCCTCAGATTTTTTAACATAAACCAATACTGTAATGTGTGCCTTACTGTAATCCATGGTTGTTTCCCTTCTCTTTGCTGCTTTTCCTTTTAAATCCTCATGTCTTCTTATGCTTGGTGAGAACTTCCCTTTTCAGCTCAGGGCCTCTTCCTGTAGTGCTGGCTCAGGTTACAAGCCTATACAAACGTATACACAGACACTGTGTATCTATTCCTCAGACAAGGCAGTCTGCTGCAAAACAGAAGATCTGCCCAGCATGAGAACAGATACAGATTTAAAAGGAAGAGCAGCAAAGAGAAGAGAAACAACCATGGATTACAGTAAGGCGCACATTACACTATTGTTTTATGTTAAAAAATCTGAGGGTTTAATGTCACTTTAAGTATTTTCTCCGTCGAGGATGAACAGGTCCTCAAAAGGTTTGGCTTCTATTTGTGTGTTCAGTGGACGCCAGTTCTGAAGAGGAGGTGCAGAGGCATTGTTCACCCCTTGCATGCTTTCCTGGGCCACAAATGGTGAAGAAGATCTTTACTATGACAATATGGAGGCTACTGCTGTGGTCTTTAGTCTAAAACTTCTAGTTGTCTGGCCGAAATGATGACCTAGTGTGTTCAGTGTGTAGTCAATGACTGACTGAACAACTATGCAGACCTGGAATTTTTACTTTACATGTTGAATAATTGTTCTCATTTATTGAGTGCTAAGCATTTCACATATTAAAAAGGAGTTAATGTCTTCATATGTCTCTTAGTAAAGGTTACTATAAGCTTAGAAAATCATTCCACCTACATCCAGGATAAAAGGTTTTTGCGTTTCACAGTAAGTCAATCACATAACTGGCTTCTTATATATCTTGGAGACTATATTGGTGAAAACGTCACCAGAACTCATTCTGCCCAAATGCAGCAGCCATTAAAAGCCAATTGCTTTGCTGATCCCTGGTAATGGAGAATAAACAAATTAGGAATTCATCTACCAGGGTGATTGCTTATTATGGCTACCTAGAAGGGTCAGAAACAAAAGTTGGAGATGGTGAGGGAGATGAGACAACACCACCCAAAACTGCAATGCCAAAATATGTGTAAAGTTAGCTTTTGAATTAAGTGTCTTTAACAGTGTTTTGTTGTTCTAACTAGGAAAATAGTTATTAATGTCTTTCTTCCGCTTTGACAGTGACCATGAAGATGTTTCACCAAGGAAGAGGACTTTAAGCAGCAGACCAAAAGAAAAGGAAGAAAAAACAGTAGCGGTCAAAAAGAAGAAAACCACACGGAGATCAGTGGAGTCATTTGAGCCACTAAACACGGGACTGTCACTGGTGGAAGATGAGGAGCTGGTCCTACATCTCCTAAACAGCAGCAGCTAATTATTTACCCAACTGTGTTTTTCTTGGCCATCTTCCCCCTTACATCAACAGCTCTTTACAAAATCAATTTGTCTTCAATGCAGTTCAGTACTCTGGGACAATGATAAATGAGAACAGCAGAATGACCTCCAAATAGCCAGCCTGCAGTATAAATACAGCAAGTGCAATTCCTTAAAGAGCCATTCTACCTACAGTTGTGTTTGTGTAAAAGGGAGTTTAGGGATATAGGTGAAAGTCTGTTAAAGGCTCGCATGGTATTAAAAAGTTTCAGGAGATGGTAACTGGACTTAATTGATATAAATTTATAGAAAGCACAGAGACTTTGCTTTCTGGCTATCTTACTGTTGCCATTTTTTAAGCATACTATAGTAGCCTTTGGTAAAATATCTTTAAAGGTTACCTGTCACAAACCTGTGCAGTTCAAAGCGAGCACATGAAGTTACCTTCGGTGAAAACCGCATGTGAAGCCGCTCAGTACAACCAGACATACAGGCAGCTGCAATATGGAGATTTTGATATTTGCTGTAAAAGTTGGTTCTGCCTCTCTATTGATCATTTAATGTGATTGGCAGCCTTATTGATCAGGAAAAGGGGTGGAGCAAAGCACAACATTTACAGGAAAAATGGAGATTGTCTTATAATGTTTGTGGCCTATATGTCTGGGTCTGCTGATCATTTTGATGTGCTGTTTTCACTGAGGCAACCTTTTCTTATGCATTGTTTTCTTCCTGTGCTCAGTTCAAATTGCTCAATTTTTTGGCAAGTTTTCTTTCAAATAAAAAGACTGGAATGAAAGCCTGACATTAATTTCATATATAACTACAAGGTCAGATATTTAAACATAGTTACACCCATGTATGCTTTTTAGGTGGATGATGATGAGTTGATTCGTACGCAAACTTTTTAAACTTGAAATTGGAAGAATTCTTACAGAAGTTCTCTGCTTGGCCCACCTGCTATAGATATTACTGTGAAGTGAGGGGGGGGGGAGTTATTTAGGAAATGTCACAATTGGAATCCCTGAGAGTAGGCGAGCATATACCCATATCCCTGTGTCACATTTGGGTAGACAGACCTATAGTTATGGGAATATTTTAATATATTTTTGTAAAGATGACTCCAGCTCGATTGCTGGTTTTATAGCGCATGACTTATTGCAAGAAAATGTAATTACCTGCCAAACTTTTTTCTTGAAGTTGAATTTGTTCAACTATTATTGTGAAGTCTTGTCTTCACTAATAGTAAGCCTATAATTAGAAATGTAGTAATCCAAGGCGCACATGAATGTCATTTTGTTACATCAATATTCTGACAAAAACTGTAGTTAGAGACAACCTGCTGTCTGCTTTAAATGCTGAGAACTCCGATTCAAGCATACAGTCCACCAAAGAAGTGATTTTTCCGTTTTTTTACAATTGTCCAGTGGTAACAAGACAAGAGTATTTGAGGTGCCTTCTGGTCAACAGAGCACTTACTAATAAGCTGAGTCACATATATAACCCTTATCTCTATGTACCCTGACCACTGTAGCAGAACTAAGTGAACAGCTGTGTATATCGAAATATTGCTGACGTGTTTATGGATTCCAGCCTCTGATGGGTGCTGTCATTTACAACTTGGGAAAACAACTACTTTTACCTGCAGATTATGATGGAGGAAGACCCACAACTGTTTTTCTCACACATTTGTATTCCTGTTTAAATTCAGGCATTTCACAATAAAGAATTCATTTTTTTTAATGTAAAATTGCTTTGCTTTGTGTCTGGATGATAATATATGATGAGAGGAAGAATTCCATAGAGTCATAAAGGGCATTTTACACGCTGAACCCTGATGTCTCCATAAAGAGGACCTGTCACATATTTTTCTATCACATAGAGGGGTTTTTATTAGCCCCCGTATGTGATAGCAATAAAGTTTAGTGGGAAAAAAAAAAGTTAAAAAAAATTAAGTTCCCCCCCCCCAAATTTAAAGTTACACCTTAAAAAAGAATTTCAAAGTACCGCAGCGCTGAACACTGAAAAATGGCCTGGCCAGGAAGGGGGTCTAAACACCTGGTCTTGAAGTGGTTAAAATACATATGCAGAAGTTGTTTTACCTGCCAAAGTGCCAGATTTGAAACCAGACATTTCTTTTCATGCAATTAAGCAAAAGGGATATGTCACCTCCCTGTCCCTAGCCTAGAACTGGACAGTGAAGTAGCAGCTACAGTCTAATGGGGTCCTCTTTTCCCTCTGTCCTCCTGTCAGCATGTTTGCTGCCCCCCTCCCTCAATCTTCCAGCCTGGTGTTGCTGTGCAGGGACTGAAATCAAATGCAGGTGTTTATAGTGATTACATTTGTGATTTTAATAAACACAATATATTCAATGGGATTTTGTATTGTTCTTGAAAGAGTTATGCCAGGCATTTATCACCAAACCCTCCTCACTTCTCTGTAGAGAGAAACAGATTTTTTTTATTACTCCATGTGACATCATCCCGAGGCTTGTAAAAGTCTTGCTGGACATCTGCTAAAAGCTCAGTTTCTCTTAATATAGACACCCCCCCAGAACTACATCTGCCAAGACCCCTTTCCTACACACTGTGTGGACAGGTATTTGGGAGTTAAAGCAGCATTGTTTTGCTGCAAAGAAATCAATGTATGCATGTGGAGTGGGACACAGAGGGTTGGGGCAAGGTGGAATTCTGTCATCCAGTAGGCAGGGCTGATGACGCTGGTTGGGATTTCAGTGTGGGGCTGTGTTGTCCACCTAAATATGAGGTTGAAAACCTAAACACTGGATGTCTAGCAGATCAACCGGTATTTTTCTCTACTTTTAGCTTTTCCAAGGGCTAAAAACGTGCATTGCAGAGATCTGCTTCATGGGTTTTTTATTGTTTTTCCCAGACATACACATTAACACTTTAAATGTATTACTGCATTTAAACATTCTTCTCACTTGCTTAATTACTGTAAACTTTGCATAGCTAAGCAAATTGCACATATTGTGCATAGACTGTCCATGCATAACTCATTGTAAATCTTCTGCAGTGGTTGATGGTGTTTTTAATAGAAATAAATCAGCCCACCACTTCAGACTCCTCCATGTAGGTACGTGGATTGAGTCCTCCTTTATGTTACCCCAAAGTAAAGATTAACAGCACCAACACCCTCTTCATTTTACTAACGCACTGCAGCGCATGTGCATGGTGTGCACAACAATATGTGGGGGGAGGGAGGGGCTGTGCTTTTTTTTATTTTATTTTTTTTAATTATTTTATTTTGTTTTACATTTTGTTTATTTTAATTTTTTTTTAATTTTAAATTTATTTTTTAATAATTTTGTATTTATTTTTTTACTGTTGGGGGGGCTACGGTGAAATCTCTGGGGTCTAAACAGATCCCTGACATTTCCCTTTTGAAATAGAAAAAGTAATTGAGGACACCAAATCCTCAATTTCTTTTTCTGCAGCCTCAGCACTCAATTAATGGGAAGAACTCAGTACAGAGGCTTCCCATTCCATTTTTGGAACTCACTGCCATCGGCAGTGATTTCAGCCAAGAGTGTAGATTTGTTCAAGAAACGTTTGGACAATTTCTTGAGGGACCGTAATATCCAGGGATACCAGTATCCCTAAGAATGAGATGATGCGTGGACCTATATGGGTTGGACTTGATGGACATATGTCTTTATTCAACCCCAAATACTATGTAACTATGTAACTTGTATTTCATTAGAGGAGATGCAGTAACACACTTGTGCTGGACATGCATAACACAAATTATAGCCAATTTCAACCAACTTTTGATCACTAATATGATCAAAAACGATTAAAACAAAAAAGCAGACTGCCATTGATAAATTTGATCAATAGGAAAATGTAAATCTGTTTTAATCTGATTTATTACATTTCAAAAATAATTGTGATTGAATAGAAATTGATTGAAAAACATGAAGCCCGCTCAAGCAATCAGATGTTCTGCCTCATTCATAGGTTTCTGCAACTCAATTGCCTAATAGATGATCAAAAATAGTAGTTTATCCATTTGATTCCTTTTTAGTTTTAATGGAAAAAACAAAACTGAGATTGAAAGATGTATATATTGCCTACATGGCCAGCTTCATGGGCTAAATGCAGCGTGCATTCAGCTTGCATCTCAGTCTGAAATACTTCTGAATTGCTTCATAGTTTGCACTTTACCTACTTCTAAGCTGCATCAAAATGCTTTGGCATTCTCCTCATAAGGTGGAGAAAGGAGTTCTGAAGCAAACTGTTGCTGTTGTGCACAAGCCCAAAATCAGCAGGTAAAGATGTAGTGGAAGGCCACAGTCAGCTCCTGGTATCAGTGGATCCAAAGGATAGCTGCAGGGGGGAGCTATACTAATTAGGATAATATTCTTCCTTTTAAAACTATGTTCATTAGCTTTGTTTTTGCGTTGTAGGTTCCAGCAGTGAGACAACGTACAGCTAAGAATATAAAGACTACGATGTAAAAAGAAGGATTTACAGTATTATGTTTGTGCCAGCACATTTTTCCAGAATGTAGATGATTGAGGGTGATGCCTGAACTAAGACGTAGAAAAGAAGATAGAAACATGGTCAGGGGAGCACTGTGATCTTATCAGGGGGTAATAATGCCTAGAAGTAAACCTGTACTTTTGTAATAAATGCTGTCACATTACACAGATAACATACACTGAACATGAGAAAATACAGCGAGGGACACAAAACAGGCTGTAATTCTGGGCAGCCAACTGAGACCCCCCTTTACAGGTCTGCGACAGAATTACCTCGGGAGAAGAAGATATATTTTCTTGATGTTGAGACAGATTTTTACTCAAAAGTTGCACAATTGTGGCCAGGACATGTTGTATTCTGTTGCAGTGCTACGTTAAAGCAGCTGAGGGGGAATTTATGAATAAAGCTGCTAAATAATCATTTTAAAAAATCTTTCTCACTGCTCCACTCTGGCGTGGCCATTTGTACGGCAGAATTGATAAATGTGTCACAGTATATGGGATGCTAAATCCACTTTAACCACTAGCATCTCTGTGGCCAAGGAATGTCGGTCTACATTGGATATATGACAGCTAGCAGTACACATAGGTGGGTGCTTCTAGCTGTCAAACCAAGCTTTCACAGCCCTGTTCCCTACTTACTACCAGAAACCAATCAGCATGGTTACTGATAATATAATCAGCATAACATCTATGGCATGGTGATTACATGAGGTTTTATAGTAAAGAAACCTCTCTTGGTTCTAGCTGTCAAACCTTTTCTTT